TAAGATGATGATCCAAATGCCCAAGCTTTGGCACCGTGATCAAGCGTCACCTGTCGCACATTACCGCCAAGATAGATCTTTGGTGGACCAATGCTCTTATCTTTCAACAGAAAATACTTCCCAACTTAGTTTCTTAGCGTTCGTTCTGGATGTTCAGATACACAGAGGCAGTCATCGGTGTACAGCAGTATGTATTCCTATTATTCTTGTCCATCGGCTTTAATAGCAGGCCTCATCCAAACATCCGGGTCGGCCGGGCAAGACTCAAATCCCAGGTGTCGCATACAAGCACGTTGTTAGAATAAAGCAAAATGTGCTCTATCGTGAGTGCCTTTAGCGCTCAGAACAAACTCTCTGCAATCTAAATTCGTAATCGACTGTACAACACTTTCACGACAATAGTTCTCCTGTGTCTAGGTATACTTTGAGTGAAATTGTTCCTATTTGATTAATGTTTGGCTTGAATTGATGATTCAATCACAAAAGTAAGTTCAACAATTTTCCCTTGGAAAATCCCTTGTTTACAGAACTTGATTCGACCTCTATGATGATTCTATGTTGGATGCAGTACTTTGGGACATCTTGTATTATTCCCTAATGCATTGTACACAACATCGATATCTCACTTGTATAGGGTCATTCCCTTTTTGTGTGGATGTAGATTGTCCGACAGACTTGCGTCCGGCACACTTGCGTCAAATCCCAACATCACGATCAAAGTCCGATGGTACGTGTCGAAAACTTCGTACTTGAATAGTTTCTTTTGGAACATAAAAACTCATATTTCGTCATATCCCAACAAAGATGACCAAATCGCGGTATCGCCAGCTGTGACAATAGAATACTGCATTCCAAGCAGATGTCAACTCGACCAAGTTCCACGATCCATCTCAAAATGCCAATCAAGGACATGTAGTACAAAGCATCTTTTGGCTCCAGCTCCGGACTCATGTCCAACTTGGCTCGATAACTGGTCCGCATTGGTGTCCTCGCGCTTGCAGGTATTTTGAATCTGTTGTCACCAGCGGTGTGACAATCATTCAGGTACTTTTCAACATTCTTGATGGCTTGTTGTACGTAAGATGATGATCCAAATGCCCAAGCTTTGGCACCGTGATCAAGCGTCACCTGTCGCACATTACCGCCAAGATAGATCTTTGGTGGACCAATGCTCTTATCTTTCAACAGAAAATACTTCCCAACTTAGTTTCTTAGCGTTCGTTCTGGATGTTCAGATACACAGAGGCAGTCATCGGTGTACAGCAGTATGTATTCCTATTATTCTTGTCCATCGGCTTTAATAGCAGGCCTCATCCAAACATCCGGGTCGGCCGGGCAAGACTCAAATCCCAGGTGTCGCATACAAGCACGTTGTTAGAATAAAGCAAAATGTGCTCTATCGTGAGTGCCTTTAGCGCTCAGAACAAACTCTCTGCAATCTAAATTCGTAATCGACTGTACAACACTTTCACGACAATAGTTCTCCTGTGTCTAGGTATACTTTGAGTGAAATTGTTCCTATTTGATTAATGTTTGGCTTGAATTGATGATTCAATCACAAAAGTAAGTTCAACAATTTTCCCTTGGAAAATCCCTTGTTTACAGAACTTGATTCGACCTCTATGATGATTCTATGTTGGATGCAGTACTTTGGGACATCTTGTATTATTCCCTAATGCATTGTACACAACATCGATATCTCACTTGTATAGGGTCATTCCCTTTTTGTGTGGATGTAGATTGTCCGACAGACTTGCGTCCGGCACACTTGCGTCAAATCCCAACATCACGATCAAAGTCCGATGGTACGTGTCGAAAACTTCGTACTTGAATAGTTTCTTTTGGAACATAAAAACTCATATTTCGTCATATCCCAACAAAGATGACCAAATCGCGGTATCGCCAGCTGTGACAATAGAATACTGCATTCCAAGCAGATGTCAACTCGACCAAGTTCCACGATCCATCTCAAAATGCCAATCAAGGACATGTAGTACAAAGCATCTTTTGGCTCCAGCTCCGGACTCATGTCCAACTTGGCTCGATAACTGGTCCGCATTGGTGTCCTCGCGCTTGCAGGTATTTTGAATCTGTTGTCACCAGCGGTGTGACAATCATTCAGGTACTTTTCAACATTCTTGATGGCTTGTTGTACGTAAGATGATGATCCAAATGCCCAAGCTTTGGCACCGTGATCAAGCGTCACCTGTCGCACATTACCGCCAAGATAGATCTTTGGTGGACCAATGCTCTTATCTTTCAACAGAAAATACTTCCCAACTTAGTTTCTTAGCGTTCGTTCTGGATGTTCAGATACACAGAGGCAGTCATCGGTGTACAGCAGTATGTATTCCTATTATTCTTGTCCATCGGCTTTAATAGCAGGCCTCATCCAAACATCCGGGTCGGCCGGGCAAGACTCAAATCCCAGGTGTCGCATACAAGCACGTTGTTAGAATAAAGCAAAATGTGCTCTATCGTGAGTGCCTTTAGCGCTCAGAACAAACTCTCTGCAATCTAAATTCGTAATCGACTGTACAACACTTTCACGACAATAGTTCTCCTGTGTCTAGGTATACTTTGAGTGAAATTGTTCCTATTTGATTAATGTTTGGCTTGAATTGATGATTCAATCACAAAAGTAAGTTCAACAATTTTCCCTTGGAAAATCCCTTGTTTACAGAACTTGATTCGACCTCTATGATGATTCTATGTTGGATGCAGTACTTTGGGACATCTTGTATTATTCCCTAATGCATTGTACACAACATCGATATCTCACTTGTATAGGGTCATTCCCTTTTTGTGTGGATGTAGATTGTCCGACAGACTTGCGTCCGGCACACTTGCGTCAAATCCCAACATCACGATCAAAGTCCGATGGTACGTGTCGAAAACTTCGTACTTGAATAGTTTCTTTTGGAACATAAAAACTCATATTTCGTCATATCCCAACAAAGATGACCAAATCGCGGTATCGCCAGCTGTGACAATAGAATACTGCATTCCAAGCAGATGTCAACTCGACCAAGTTCCACGATCCATCTCAAAATGCCAATCAAGGACATGTAGTACAAAGCATCTTTTGGCTCCAGCTCCGGACTCATGTCCAACTTGGCTCGATAACTGGTCCGCATTGGTGTCCTCGCGCTTGCAGGTATTTTGAATCTGTTGTCACCAGCGGTGTGACAATCATTCAGGTACTTTTCAACATTCTTGATGGCTTGTTGTACGTAAGATGATGATCCAAATGCCCAAGCTTTGGCACCGTGATCAAGCGTCACCTGTCGCACATTACCGCCAAGATAGATCTTTGGTGGACCAATGCTCTTATCTTTCAACAGAAAATACTTCCCAACTTAGTTTCTTAGCGTTCGTTCTGGATGTTCAGATACACAGAGGCAGTCATCGGTGTACAGCAGTATGTATTCCTATTATTCTTGTCCATCGGCTTTAATAGCAGGCCTCATCCAAACATCCGGGTCGGCCGGGCAAGACTCAAATCCCAGGTGTCGCATACAAGCACGTTGTTAGAATAAAGCAAAATGTGCTCTATCGTGAGTGCCTTTAGCGCTCAGAACAAACTCTCTGCAATCTAAATTCGTAATCGACTGTACAACACTTTCACGACAATTGTTCTCCTGTGTCTAGGTATACTTTGAGTGAAATTGTTCCTATTTGATTAATGTTTGGCTTGAATTGATGATTCAATCACAAAAGTGAATTCAACGAATTTCCTTTTGGGAAATCCCTTGTTTACAGAACTCGATTCGACTTCTACGACAATTTTGTGTTGAATGCAGTACTTTGGGACATCTTGCATTATTCCCTACTGCATCGTACACAACCTCGGTATTCCTGTTTGTGTGGATACAGATTGTCTGACAGACTTGCGTCCGGCATACTTGCGTCGAATCCCGACATCTTGCACGATCAAAATCCGATCGCACGTGTCGAAAACCTGGTACTTGAATAGTTTCTTTTGGAACGTAAAAACTCATATTTCGTCATATCCCAACACACGTAGATGATTTCTGAAATCACGTCCAGCAGTTTTGCCGCCATAAATTGCACGATGAATAAGAGCAACCTTGCCAACGTTTTCCAATCCAAACTCTGGGCCACAAGGTAACTCAATTGTTTCTTTTTAAATAGTGTTTGACCATCACATCTTTCCTCAGGTTAATCGGAATTACTCAATCAGAGCTCCTACAAAGACAGAAGTTGACCTCGAATTTGCAAACACGATTAGGGATTGGTGTTATTCATTCACCTCTTCCATAGAATCTGCCAAAGAAGAAAAGGACTCCTGGAATGCCCTTCTTACATTTGTGGACAACATGGACAAGGAAGGCAACCCCACCAAGGATCTCATCAGGTTTACACGCAAATATCTCACCACCTTTTTCAACAAGTCCATGGAGTACCTGTCCTTCAGACATTACATGGCTGTGCCAAATGGGGATAGAGCAGACAACTGTTCAAGCGTCTTGACCAAGGTCCAAAACCAAGCAACAAGATTCATGTTTCAGCGTTGGAAATTGGCACAGCGGGACATAGCCTACGTCAACAATCTAACAGTTCAAAGTATCAAGTGTTTAGTGTCCACGTCAACACGGTCCCAGCAGACCAACACCAGTGTCCAGGATGCAAATCTCCAGGAATTGACAATGCATATTATCAAGAGCAAAGAATCACTGGCTGTTGAACAGCATTGCCTAGGGTCCAACTGCTACATCTACTATCCTGGCCTCTCTAATTCCAAGGAACAGACATTCTATGTTAGGGAAAACTTGATTAGAGCTTCTGTGACAAGATTCACTAGCTGGCGCCCAGCGGTTCCAAGGACAAGGTATGGATTCCGTGCTGTTCGTCAGCCATCATTCAATAATGACTCACTGTCTTTCAACACACCAGAACTGTTACCATTACAGAGTCTACATTCTTGTGGTTTTTTCCAACGTTCCAGCATAGTTTGTAGACATATCTACTGTCTACTTGGGCGTCCACCATCACATGCAGATTTTCCCCCACAGTGCTTGAAGCACTACATCCCAATGTCACTCCAATGTGATCAGTACCTTATGACAGCCCAACAAATATCTGAACGGATTCTGAAGAGCGGTGGGCTATCATTGGCCCCCAACTACCCGTTTAAAGTCCCATTCCACGTCCAGCAACAATGCCTAGGTCCGGAATGCTCAGGAGACACTTTAGTTTTCCAATTTTTTTGGGGAAATCTTCACTAGTGTCGAGCGTCGTGATGAATGTCTGACCGTTACCAAAGTCTTTTGATCAAAATGATGCACGATGCGACCGTTATCAACGTCTTTTTGTCCAAACCAACTAAAAACACGTAAGCTCTACGTACCGGTACAAATAAAGACCGGAACTGCTTCGTCTTTGATTTGCTTTCGCAGCAAAGGGAAACAACCAACCATGCCAAATGAAGTCACTTACTTTGTTCAAATAACAGATCCTGACAGCGCCTACAATGTTGGTACTTTGAGCTTAAAGGAGTCATTCAACTTCCGAAATCTTTTCAAAGGGACTCTACGAACCAACAACCTTGATATCGAAATTGCTAAAATTGGTCCATCTCTATCCAACCTTGCCGAGTGGAGTGGCTACCAGGTTGTAAGAGATGGGGAAATTTCTCAATTCATTAAACTCATGAGTTCAAGCTCGCTGATGTTCCGCAGTGTGAGCATCACTGGTCGTGCCGACAAAGTGACCGACAACGTCTACAATGACGTTTCTAGACGTCCAGGGTAGGAATACATTAAAGCATTTGCCACCCAGACGGAGGACCTACGATTGAAGATCTTAACGTGTGGGATGTGAGTGCTCTATTCAATTTTACATTTACTATCCCTGGGTTCGGAGAAACTCTGCTTCAAAATCTGGTTGAACCATCAATCAACCGTTGTGGCATCTCGTATCTTGATTTTTTGTATCCGTTGCTTAAGTCCAAATCCTGCAAGATCAGGCATTTGGATGTCAGTTGAAACAATATAGAGTTGGCTGTGTTTGAAGATTTCCTGCGACAACAGCTATGATTTTGTTCACATGAGTTATTGATGGACACACCTGCTTTGGCAAAACATGTTCATGGACACACCTGCTGCGGCAAAATATGTTCATTGTCTATCACAGCTTGCATAACATAGTATAAGAAGATATCCTGGAGATATGAGAGATGTGGGGAGGATGATTTTCTTATTATTTTGTACAGCAGACATATCCATGTGAAGACGTTCCTCGGTAAGCGTGTCTTGGAAGAGTAGGGGTATTTCTACAACGGTTTTCTAGCTTTACTTAACCAAATCGCTTCATGTGATAGTATTTTGAGAACGGTACTTTAACGTCTATTTTGGTGCTTCAAACGCCACGGAGGAGAAGTTCCCTAGCGTCGAGCGTCTTGGTGAATGTCCTTCGATTTATATAGTTCTCAAACAAACATGCACGCTCGACAAGAAGTGAAGAAACGTATATTTTGCAGCAATAAGTATGTATTATGAAATATAAAACTGATATTGTTTTCAATAAGACAAGTTTTGTTTTTTGCAAATAGTAAAACCTCATTTGACTAATTTAATCTTTGCAGCAGTGGAAAACAAACGTTGGCAAACACTAATGAATTTGGAAAATGATGCAAACCAGATTCCAGAAAAGGAAGTTGTTGCAGGGTGCTGAATGCAAAGATAAAACCTACACAGCCCTGACTAACCAGGACAAAAGCAGTGGAGGTGAAGTTGTAGACACAGGTATTGGTATTGGTGTTGCAACTGAATTTGAGGCTAAGGATAGCAATGCAGAGGAGAAGTTAGATGAAGATGTAGCTGATGGCGATGATGCAGATGTTGATCATACAAATTATGAGACTGAAGGTAAGGCCACTGCCGCTCCTCCGGACAAGTCCACTGCCGCTCCTGCAGGTGCTAAACAAAATTTTGATTCAATTTGGTGCTATCCCAGCATGCCAAACAAAATCTCTTTCATTGTTGCATGTCCTGTCGAGGGATGCCACGATCCAGTTGTGCTTGGCAGGGGTAGGAAGCTCTATTCATTAAAGGGTAACGATGATCTACACAGCTTTGCAAGTTTGTGTCACAAAAGACTATCATCTGGTCTTGACAAAAATGGGGGCGCGGAGCAACTTTTGCCAAGGGCACCTGAGATCCTCCTTCAGAAGCTGAAACCAAAGCAGGTGGGGGTGAGGGAAAAAAAAGCTAGAGTGAGTAGAAAGGAACGGTATGCAGTACCAAGCGACGACGAGGTGCCAATGGGTACCGATACTGAAATGGTGTCGTCACATACGCTGCTTGCACAACCGTCAAAAGCTGGTTGGCTGGACCTTGTTTTGCTGCCAAGGTTTCATACATACTGTCAAAAAATGCGCATGCACTACAAAACGTTCCATATGGGTCATAAGCTGCCAAGTGGTTGCAAGGCAGAATCCCTAACAAGGATGAGGACCAACGTCGACATGTGGAATACTAGTCATCCTGACAGACAGATTAAAATCTCTGTCTTCCAGCAAACTTACAATGATGTTTGCTCTGAACAGCTGTTGGATGAGATGAAATACTTTATTTTGGACGACATGCAGAAGGACAATTTGTGGCAGCGGATTATTGAAGACCACGATGAGAAAGCAAAAAAAGAAGTAGTTGATGGACACTAAACATTATTGAAAGACTACAGATGAGAAAGATAATGAAGAAGTAGTCAATGGACACTAAACAAAGTCTTCTGTATCCGAAGTTCCTTCACTAAGTATTAGCTTTTAGTATTAGCTTGGAAGGTTCTCGAAAAATAATCGAGAAGTGGCCGCTTGCAGTTGCGGGCCAAATATTCTATTTCTTGCGGGTTTGATTGAAACGAAACCGTGTTGTCCGTGGGTTGTGTGGGGTGGGGGGAAAACTGGGAGGGAAAATTGGGAGGGAAAATTGGGCGAAAAAAAAAGGAGGCAAAAAAATGGGATTGAATTTTGGTTTTTGGAAAACTCCAACAAAGCTTGATTGCAATTCATTTTCAAAGCCACACTCTGTTCTTTTCCGACTCTCAACTGATGAGAGACGACTATCATTGTTGTTGAAGCAGCAATGTGAACTACCGGAGACTACCATTCCTACAAGAAACAAAGAGGCTTCCGACACGGCACATTGGAGACCTACAACTTTTGGAATGCTTCAACATGCCTATGTTCATGTTTGTAACGCATGCATGGAAGATGTAATTCATGCCATGCAGGGAAGGAAGAATCAAGTTGGGACCGGATCTACGGCCTCCTCTTCTATTGTCTTGGACTGATACTGTCGTGAAAACATCTTCTCAGCGACACAAAAGATGGGGAGAAGCTTGGAGTTCTTGTAAAGATGGAGACTACAATGTGACAGACAGAGAACACCGCTGCTGTCGCGGAAAGGCTGGAGTGGAACTGGGTGTTTCGTGGGCTTTCCGATGTGTTGACAAAGTAATTGAAAAATGTTGCAAGACAAGAGAAGGGCGAGTTTGCATGCACCTGGTCATAACGGCTGCACGCTCTCCATTGATTAATTTTTCAATTTCGTCTCCCAAATAATAGGGGGGCGGTCTGTCTGTTTGCCGTCTTGTAGTTTTAAGAAAATTAAATTTCCAGTACATTTTTACATACGACCCGGGGGGGGCTGGGTGACACCGAGAACGACCCTAATGCGTTCAACCGCCACCGCCAACAGCAGTCATTGCGGGACAATAAAAGATATTCGTGTGCTCGACGGAAATTGGAGCAGCTACACAGGGACAAACTGCCGTGGGGCTATAATACATACATCGGCCGGATGCAATATCTCCATATTAATATGGATGAGTCATTCATCGTCGCTTAGGTCCTATGGCCAACAAATGATTATTCTCACCATCATGTTTGGGCGTTTGCATCATCTGATATTTACCAAGAACTCATCTGCCAAGAGGAGTCATTGTCAGATACGGAACGATGCATGCGGTGATGGACGAGGACGGCGGGTTTTCGGCATTCTACACTGAGGCAGTGGGAATCCCCGGATTTCTCCCCTAGTTGCGAGATTTTCCCACAGCTCAATTTTTCCCACAGCTCAATTTTTCCCACAACTCAATTTTGCTTCCCACAACTAGTTGTGGGAATTCCCTCAACAGTTGTGGGAAAATTGTCATTTCTACACAGAAAACCACGTAGGATATGTACTGAGACAAATTTGAAGTTTCCCACAACTCTAATTGTAGTTGTGGGAAGTTTCCCACAACTCTAATTGTTTTATTGGGAATTATGGGAAAACTGTCCGTTCTACGGAAAACTGTCTGTTCTACGCACAAAACAACGTTTGATATATGTACTGACTAGAAAATAGACAACTACATATGATGTTTCCCAAAAACTCTAATTGTTTTCGTGATATTTCGTGATACATTTAAAGGCAAAAATAACGGACATCTGAGCAACGGAAATTCCCACAACTAGTTGAGGGAAATTCCCACAACTAGTTGTAGGAATTTCCCACAACTATTTTTTAAGATTCCTACAACTAGTTGTGGGAATTTTTGGCAAAAATCTGTTCCCACAACTAGTTGTGGGAAATCGCGTTAAATATCGCGGGGACGAAATAAAATGAAAAGGGGGAATTCCCACTGCCTCACTGGGGAATTGGTTGATAATATATGAGGAGGATGATTTGAATGACATTTTTTCCACCGAGCTTCAAACTGCCGTATAGTGTACAGTGCCAACAATCAGATTGTCCAAATGGAACTGCCAATCCGGGCACGTATCGACGTCCCCTACAACCACCCGCTCCTCCGAGGTGACTTATTGGATTTGGTACCCCGCGACAATGCGACTTTGATCATTGTGGTCCATGGCGGCATTGCTGGAACTTTACTACTAGGGGCAGCAGGAGTAGCCCCTACAGTCGTTTGCAACGACGAGGCACTTATCATTCGGCGAGAACGAGGACGACTAATTCTCCACGACAATCATCACCACTAGCCAAGACCAAATCAGAAGAAGGTTGATAATCGTGAATGCTGACGAGCACGCAAGGATCATGACGTGCGGTGCTTGGAGGAACCCAAAAAAAAACAGATATTCAACTTTGTCAATTGTCAAGACTCTACTCGGTTCTGTTCTGCACAGAGCGACAATCCCTTGACTTTAGTTCCCATGCTTTCAATCAAAGTAATATCATAATAGATGCTGTACTTGACTCTTGAAGTCAGCATCAATGATCGCATTCCCACAGAATATGGATAGCTGCTCCTGTCTTTATCTACTGCACTTGAAAGGCAACAAGAGAAATGAAATGTAAATGAAGGTTGCGGTTATTGATTCCGTAGGATGAAATCCTTCGACTGTATTGTTACTCCGTTGTGCCAAGTAATCATTTATTACACTTTGCGGAATGAACAATGGTGCTGCATTGGCAAGTCTCCCTTGATGCTGCATCCAACCAACTACTGTAGTTTGCCTTCTAGGGAAAAGAAGTGATATCAATCCATGTCGTGCAACGTCGCATTACTATAGGACCTAGGACATATATATACGGAATATACTTTGCTTTTAAAATAAGCTATGTTATTTATTTATAAAATATTATGAAATGGAGGTCCTCTGCAAGCTTTATTACTTTCCAATGAGAAAGAGAGCGACAATCAATCCATACAACCCAATCGCTTCCAAAAAGACAAGGCTCAAGGCCAGATGAACAAAGTTTTCGTTCACCATGGCACGACGTTCCCGCTGAATCAAGGGTTCTGATTCAGGGCGATCGGAATCGTCACTAGTAATTGTTGCAGCCACATTCAAATGTTTCAAAAAGCGGGCGATTCCCATGCCACTGGCGAGACATGCCAAACCAACAGCCAAGCCAGCACAAAGGTGGCGATATCCATTTACTTCGGTTAATTCCGCAGACCCCATCTTTCCAACCAGCAAAATGGAAATGATAATGCCGTAAATGGCAAGGACTCCCGAAATGATGATCGGGACAAAGGCTGTGAGTCCTTTCTTGCGAAGGGCATAGATACCACCTTCGGCCGAAGCAATGGCAGAACCAGTGGAAGCAAGGAAGATGGAAAGGGCAGAGCCAAGGCCGGTAAGAAGTTGTGGGTCTGCGAGAGTCATGATTGGGTTTTTTCTGAGTCTGAGTCTGATTGAGAGTGACAAGTTAGTGAATGAGAATGATTTTATGTTGCAAGATATGTTGCGAATTGATTGCTTTGCTTTTCTTGCGAAACAAGATTCAAGAAAGCTTGCGGTTACGACTGAGAACGAACAAATGTTGTGTTCCACGATGTTCGCCACGACTGTTCTTCAACCAAATAATCACAACGCACTTCCTATGAAGCGCGCGTGATGGCGCGAAAATTTTGTAGCAAGAATTAAAAATGTAAGGTCGATTGCATACGTAGGTATATTGAACATACCTACAGTACAGTATGAATTCTGGAGGCGATTTGTGATGGCAATAACTGGCGATGGTTATGGTGCACAAGTAAGCTCAAACCTGGATAAACCTGTGGAGATAATCCTGCCCAATACTCCCATGGGTTAGTGAAACGACATGGCAAAAGAAATGGCAAAATATGCCTTTGGGGCAAAGGAACAAAAATAGAGATTTTGCAGTTAAAGTTGATGGTGTTCCAGTATTGTTTATTGACAGTTTTCAATTTTCCTCTAGTCAAGCCAAGCACCTTTAAAATATACGCTATTATTCATATGCAGTCATTCAACAAAATCCAAAACTGCAAAATAAGATCCAGTGATGATGATGATGCATGCGCTCGAAGATACGGCACTGGTACGCATCTGAAAATATAAAGCATCACAATCTTCTACATTCGCTTCCTCGAGTATCGACTGAAGATTATTTGTGATAAACAATGAAGGTCCTTGCTACCCTCAATCTACTTGTTCTGGCCCTCCTTCTTGGTTCTCTTATTGTTGAGGCCCATGACGTCCGTGGTGATGAACGCTCCAACAATCTTCGCACCAGAACGGAGACTGCGAGAACTACCAGCCATCATCATGAGACGAGAAGCAATGTACCCGAGGCAAGAAGCAGGAGCAATGAGCAGCACCTTCTTGAGGGAAGAGGTTATGAAGAGTTGTATGCAAAACGAGGACTAAAATGCACAAACCTACTTGCGGATTGGAAGGACACTAAGAATGGTTGGCCTTGTGAAAAGTAAGAGCTCTCAACTGAATTGGATCAATTGACTGGTGCCGTTCTCATCATGACCCTACAACATTGTTGTTTCTTCCTTCGTTTTTAGGTACAACAGTGATACTTGTAAGCACCTTACCAACGCTGGAACTGGTGGCTACACCAACAAAAATGCCTGTTGTGCTTGCGGGGGAGGCAACATGGAAAAGATTGATGGGAGCCCCATTGTCTTCCCTTCAACAGAGCTGGCGCCAACGGATGCTTCATGCAGCGACGATTTAGGCTGGAAAGACAGCAAGGGCCGCAAATGTGTCTTGTAAGTACTTTCAACTGAAATATTCCAGTTGAGCAATTCTCATTTTATTGTCATGCTCAAAACTGTTGTCTTTGTTTCTTCATTCATAGGTTCGACTCAGCTTTGTGTACATCCAAAAAGGATCTCAAGGGAGTGGATGGTGTGTCTCTAAGAGAAGCCTGTTGTTGGTCGTGCAAAAAAGAACCCCCCTCTATTAACCTCGATATCAAAAAGAACACTCTCGATTCCAACGTCGATGCTTCTTGCGTCGACGATCCAGACTGGAAGGACTTAAATGGCCGCGGTTGTAGCTCGTAAGTACCATACGCTGAAATGTTTCAATTCGACTTTTCCCATTTGTCACTCTCAAAACTGTTGTGGTTTCTTCCCTTCATATAGGTTTGATTCTTTGAAGTGTCAAATCTATGAACCCACAGGACTGCTGCTTCATCCTGTGCCTATCACTAAGGTCTGTTGTGAATCGTGCAAGAAAAAACCCACCTATAACTTTTCCGCCCTCAATATGAAGCCTGAGGCGATGAGAGCCGGTCATCATAAAAGGAGCAGAACCAGTGACAAGAACTTCGAGGCGAGAGGTTATGAGAATGTTGAGGGACGTAGTTGCGTTGATTATGACGGTTGGAAGGAAACAAACTATGGCAGCAACTGCACCTGGTAAGAACTTTCAAGCTGAAATGGACAAGATGCCCGCTTCTCCCTTGATACTCAATAGGGCTGACCATCCACATGTATGCTTGCTTTCATAGGTACGACCCAAAAACAAATACAGACGCCTGCAGGGAATATGCATCTGACGTCCTAACAGACAACAAAAATGTCACGGAAGCCTGTTGTGTTTGTGGAGGAGGCAGCACTGGCGGTTCGGTCTCAACCTCCACCGCCAATGCTGCCCATCCTGTCGCTGTCACAGCTTCCACCGTTGCTCCGGGAGCTGCTGGTGGCGATGCAGCCAAATGGGTCGAAGCTCACAACAAACGCCGCAAGAAGTATTCCAAAGAGTGGGGCTACGAGTACCAGGCAGTTGGATGGAACGAGGACCTTGCCGCTCAGGCTCAAGCTTGGGCGGATCATCTAATTGCCAAGGAATGTGGCAACATCCCCCATTTGACAAAGAAGTGTAGAACCGAAGGAGAGAACAACGCCCAAGAGCAGAGTGACCCTAGACCCCCAGTCAAAAACATCGACGGCGTGCTCACTGCTTGGACTGAAGAGGAAATCGCTGGTGATCCAGCGATGGCAGATCATGCCTCTCAAGTGCTCTGGAAGGACACTACAGCTATTGGCTGTGGATATGCCACTGGTACCTGCAGCAATGGCTGGGAAACAGCGGTTCAAGTTTGCCGTTACTTCCCAGGTGGAAATCTCAATTGCGGTGGCCCCTGCATTGACGCTGTGAAGAAAAACATCATGCCAGTCGATAACACAAAGCCAATGAAATCTACCAGTGACATGCACAAATGCCTGAAGAAAGAGGAGGAAATCTACGGTAAATAAGCGAGTAGTCAAATCAATGCATCATTCGATCATTGCACTTCAAAATTGTATCAGCTCTTGCTCGTGCCATTTAGGACGTAGTGTTTATTGGGGAGTAGTCTGCAAAGTGGCCCGTCTTCTTTTCCCCGGGCAGCTTTGCTTACTACTTTGCCGGTGTGCACGTGAAAACTGAGATGTACGGTGGGGTTTGGTGTTCGGGTGTCAACAATTTAGCTATTTATTTAGTTAATGTTTTTTTGTGGCACGTTATGTCTGCCTTCCTCACCATTTGCAGACCATACCCTGTACATTTATATCAAGGGTAAAGGTAGCAAATGAAGGCTACCGTGCTATTGCACACGCATGCAATGGTTCGTGTCCGTAAGTGAACAGGATCGGCCTTCGCGGAAGCCTGTCGATGAAACGATGATAGCAACACTCTTTTTAAGAATACGATTCAATCTACATTACTATCTTTCCCATCTACTACTTTGTAAGTCAACACCCTCGTAATAACATAACGATTGCATTTATATGGTTTATCAGATCCAGCAATAACTGCCAAAAGTTATCCGACGAATGAAACAAAAATGAATACGTTTGAAATGTATTGAAATGTATTGAAATGTATTGAAATGTATCAAAATGTATCAAAATGTATCAAAATGTATCAAAATGTATCAAAATGTATCAAAATGTATCAAAATGCAATGCCATCAAACGTTATAACGTAATAATGAACATGATCGTAAATACGAAATGACATCAAATGTTATGAACATTATGATGAACGGTGCTGAGCAACACCAATGGAAACTGTCACGAATGATAGTGCTGAGCAACACCAACGAAAACTGCCACCAATGGTGCTGAGCAACACCAACGAAAACTGCCACGAATGGTGCTGAACAACACCAACGAAAACTGTTACAAATCGTGCTGAACAACACCAACAAAAACTGTTACGAATAAACAAAATGTGAACTAACAATTTGATACAGGCAACATGGCCGCTGTTCCTCCTTTCTTCACTGTACACGACGACATGGTCATCTGTGGCATTGACAATGTCACCCTCTTCCAAGGACGCACACAAGCCGAGAGAATTGCTTTCAAAATATTCTCGGACAATTTCACCACAACGATGGACAGCACCATTGACGAACTAAACAAAGAGTTCAAGACCCTCGCAGGATTGACGATTGCGCAAGGACAGATACGCTTGATGCCAGCTATCAAAAAGAACATCCGCGCATTCATCCAATGGTGCAGAGACGACATTCACATGGGACAAGACCCTACCACAACGCCATTCCCCGTCGTTGATGCAGCCAAACTGCTCAGACGCATGAAAACACACGAAAAATACGTGTATGGCTCCAAGTTGATGTCGCAACAAGCACTACCGCAAGATCTCACCAACGATGTCCAATGGGAAGATTGGTGCCCAACGTTCGAAAATTACCTTCGCACCATACCAGGTAGAGACGGTGTGCCACTAAGCTACATTGTGAGAATGAACGATGCAGGAATGCTCACCCTGCACGAAGATTTCTTGGAAATCTACGTCAACATGGCACCACACGTTGGCAAAGCATACGTCATGGATAAAGCCAAAGTACTAGTCCTTCCCAGCAAGTTTATCGTGGGGAATACCAAAGGTGAAGCGACCCTCCAAGCCATCAACATTGCAGGCAATGGAAGAGAAGCATTCAACGCACTACGTACCCACTATGAAGGCGAAGGGATACTAGCCAACGACATTGTCGAACTCGAACACACCATCAAAGAACTGTGTTACGTTGGCGAAAAACCAAAAAAATGAACTGGTCCATGTTTGAACAAATGCTAAAGAAAGCGTATGCAGCATGCGACAAACATGAGGGGAGTCAGAAAATATCTGTAGACAGAGCTGTTATGTATTTGAAGCGAAGTAGTTTGATAGAAGTATAAAACTTGAGAGACAATAGTTTGATGTAAAAGTGCAGATTTACTAAAATTGTGACGATATGGCAGTGAGAACTTGTTGAGTTTAGCGACGTCTCCGATCGCTAGACTCCGTGTTCATAGGTTCAACTGCCATTCATCGTGTTAACTATTCGCTTATTTCAATGTGTTCAAACAATCACATGAAGATTGATACACAGAAAGTTCAAGGGCTTGTGTTGAGTATGTGAATTTTTGGTTTCACACGAAAATGTGGATCGTGGGATTTTCGTTTGTATATGACACGTGTTGTGGAGTATCACACGTGTCGCATCGGAATATATATTCCGACTCTCCCTCTCAAAGAGAGAATGATTACCATCCGTTGATGGAGAATCGGTTGCGTTCGAAGGGAACTCGAGTCAGACCTTTAGTGAAGATGTCTGCTCGCTGCTTGTCAGTGGTAATCTTGGATACTTTGATTTTTCCGTCATGCCAAGGACCATTGGGGTTGTTTTGAGGAGGGCCATCTTGAGGGCGATGGACAAAGGACCAGAAATGATGATAGAACTGGCTCAAATAGCGGGTGCGATTGGTGATTCGTTGACCGATAGCGAGAAGTAGTGCACCAGCATTGTCTTCGAAGATGATGGAGCGAACAAAAGCGGTCAAGTTTGGAAGTTGGAGCCGTGGAAGAAGTTCTTCGATTAGATTCTTGAGCCCCAGAAGAACCGTCATGGAGCGAGAAAGTTGAACATATTCAGCCTCGAGAGTGCTGAGAGTAATGCACGATAAGAGCGAGCTTTTCCAAATGAGAGGAACTCCTCCAAGGAAAATGATATATCCGCCACGAGACCGAGACACTGCTGGATCATATGGAGCCTCAGATTTGAACAGTCCTGCAAAATCTGCATCACAGTATGCTTCAAGGTCAAGAGTCCCATTAAAGTTCACAATCAACCCTTTGTCGGATGTCTTCTTGAGGTAACGAAGGATTGTCTTGACGGCGGTGGCATGGCTGACTTTTGGATTGCTGTTGAAGCGGGCCGCACAGGAGACTGCATAGCTGATGTCTGGGCGAGTATTTGTGCAGAGGTAGATTAGCATCCCAACGATTGAGCTGTAGCGCCAGGGATGTTGGGACCAAGGTTCTCCGTTAGGGTCCTTTCCTAGTGGGGTTGGTGCAGCCGGAACGTGATTGGGACTGCAGTCGGTCATCTTGGCGGCTTCGAGCACCTTCTTGATGAGCCCTTCTTGAAGGAGGTGGTATCTACCATCCTTCATCTGGCGAATTTCGACTCCAAGAAACGTTTCAAAGTCGCCTTCAATCTCCAAATCAAATCCCTTTTCTTTCAGCTGGTTGACAAGTTCATCGATTTTCTCTGGTTTGTCAGTGCTGATACCGCAGTCGTCGACATAAACGACAATCATCATGTCTTTGCGAATAAGGAAGCATTTATCGTAGGAGGAGCTTTCAAATCCAAGCTCGTGAAATGCCTTCATTAAATGTT